GGATGGAGCAAAGATCCCACCGCGTGCCACCCCATGTGCCACATCCCTCCCCCTCCGAGTCCCTGGGAGATGGGGGGAGCAGGGGGGACGGCGGCGCAGACCTACGTCGGTGAGGACGGGCGGGCAGCTGTCCTGGACCCAGGGGCCGGCACACTCGTGGCGGCGTGCGCACCCGCTCCCGCACCAGCCGCAGCCCATGAAGCGCTCGGCCCGCAGGCACCGCTGGCACGTGGAGAAGTGGCGGCAGCCGGGGCCGGTGACATTCAGGCGCCACACCTAGGGATGGAGAGCGGAGGCGAGTGGGGCGCGTGGGGCTCAGCGCCCACCCTGCACCGCCCCCCCCCCCCCCCAGGGTCCCCCACTCACTTTGGTGCCGGCGGTGAAGAACAGCGAGTGGCTCTGCAGCCCCATGGCACCCCACACCGGCCCCGGCTCCCCCAGGGAGAAGTTGGCCAAGGTGAGGAGGTAGGAGCTGGAGCGCTGGAGCACCATCTGCAGCGGGGCAGAGCGGGGGGCTGAGCGCACCCCACGCGCTGCCGGGAGCACCCACCCTACCCGGCCCCCCGGCCCACCTGGAAAACGCGTCCCTCCGCTGTGCCCAGGTGGGCCACGGTGACGTCCCCCAGGGCGGTGACAAAGATGGAGGTGAGGAGGACGCTGGCCAGCTGCCCGTTGAACAGGTCCACCTTATGCGAGGCGGCGGGGACGAGGGTGGGCTGGTCCCAGCAACTGGTGTTGGCCACGGGCGCTGAGAGGTTCACCTGCAGCCAAGCGCGGGGTTGGCACCTTGAAGCTGGGCCCAGCACCCTGACCCCCCCCCCATACACTCATGAGTGGGCACCAGCTCCAGCCACAAGATATTTTGGGGCGCAGCCGATTGCCCAAGCTCCCTTGCAGGCTGGGAACGTTTTGGGGGAAAAAACACATCCGTGGCCCCTCCCGCAGCCCCCGCACGGCGTCAGATCCTGCCCTCCCCGCCCGCCCCATCTGGATGTAGTTACGGGTGTCGACACCGCAGGGCGGGCACCCCAAAGCCAACCCCTGGAGCTCTGTGGAGGGCTGGGGCTGAGGGGGGCACCAGGAGCCAGAGGGTCCTCCCTGTGCCCCCCCCTAAATGTGTGGGGCTGGGGATCCCCTCCCGGCTCGCCATGCCGGCGGTGTGAGTCAGCGGCAGTGAGCTGTCTGCTCTGTGCGTGGGAAGAGGAGGGGATTTGGCTGCACCTTGCCCTGCGTCTGGCTGAGAATGTCAAAACTCGGCTCCGTGGGTGCTTGCTGGGACCCTGCCTGCAGAGGGGGCCCTGCCGGCGTGCCCGCCCGTCCCCTTCCCGGCCGTGCCGGGGCTTGTCCCTGGGACACGGTGTTCCTGCCCCACGGCTGCGGCAGACGAGAAACCCCAGTGACTAATTGCGCTTCCGCCTGTGGTTTATTTGCCCAGAGAAGGCGGCGGCCCTGGGGCCGGGGCTGCAAGGCGGGAGCGCCCGGGCACCCTGAGCACCCCGGTCTGGGGAGCACCAAGGCCACGGGGCTTCCTTGTCCCCCGTACACATAAGCAAGCTGAAGAGGGTGGCCGCCCACAGTCCCGTGCCGGGGACAGCCACCGCGGGGGCCGGAGCCGGTGCGCCCCAGGGAAGCCACGCCGAGGAGAGGGACATTTGGGTGCGCCCGTGTGCCAGGACACGCGTCTGTGGCACCCAGCCTGGGCGAGTACGGGGTGCCCGGGGTGGGGAGCACAACCAGATCCCCACCAGCACCCTGCCTGCTCAGTGTGGCCGGGACTGGCCCCTGCGATGGGCGGCCGGCGGGGTTGACTCACACCTGGGTGACTCCGCTTTCCTCCTGCCCAACCCACCCCTCTCCAGCCCACCCCGCTTTACCAGCGCTTCCCAGCATCCCTGATCCACCTTCCCGCATCCCAGCTGACCCCCCAGACCCCCCCTGGGGTGGATGGACTCACGTTGTGTGGGCAGTACTCCACAGGCTGGAAGAAGCTGAGCCCCCGCAGCAGCGGCTGGTGCCCGGTGCCGCAGCACTTCTCCATGCCCTCCTCCATGGCCTGGTTGAGGAGGCGGAGGGGGAAGGCGCAGACGGCCGAGACTTCCCGCGGCACCCGGCTCTCGGGCCGGCTCTCGGCGAAGGCGCCGAAAAGCACCGTGTCGGTGTCGTTGATGCCAAGGTCACGGGCCAGGCGGGCGCCGGGGCGGGCAGCGTGGGCTGCCTGCAGCACGTTGTAGGCGACGTCCCGCTCGGCATCCTCCTCACCACCACGCCGCCGCCGCCGCCGCCGCTTGGACTCGAAGCGGCAGTCGAGGACGAGCTCACGGTAGCGGCGGAGGTCGCGCTCGTGGGTGCTGAGCCGTGCCAGGCGCGTGTGGTACGCCGCTGAGCCCGGCCGCTCCGGCTGCACCGTCAGGAAGTAGACGTGGTCCCCGTCGGCGAAGGAGTGCACGTAGTGGATGGTGTAGTTGTCCCGGTGTTGCGGCAGCACCGTCAGCCACTGGAAGTCGTCTGAAAAGCCGTCCAAGGTGCCTTTCAGCCTGCGGACAGACACCGACTGCGGGCTGTACCGCGCCGCCACGCTGCTGTTGATGGTGGAGCCGAGGTAGAAGAAAGAGGCGTAGGAGGTGGCCACCACTGCGGCACTGGTCCCCAGGGGGCTGGCCACGCAGTCGGGGCAGGACGCGGGGCTGTTGCCTGTGGCCGAGTACAGGCAGCGCGTGGTGGTGATGGCCACCTCGCCGTCCCGCACCTCCAGCTGGTGCTGGTAGCACAGCCCGTGCCGCGCCGTGCCGCAGCTGTACAGCCACGGCTCCAGCGGGTCCAGCAGCAGCAGGACGTTGTCCGTGTCCTCGTGAGCGTCCGTGGTGGCCGGGCACAGGCGGCAGATCTCACACTCGGCGCTGCCCACCGGGCCGGTGATGAGGGTGGAGAGGAGGCGCAGCTCGGGGCTGGCCAGCAGGATGCGGTTGCGGACGGCCACGAAGACGGCGGCCGGGCCGGCGGAGTCGGCGAAGACGGCGACGTTCTGCACGGGGCTGCCGGCGTCGAGGCCGGGCAGCGCGTAGGGGACGGAGAAGTTCCTGGTGGAGCTGTAAGGGATGCGGGGGCACTGCCAGGCGCTGGCACCAAGTGGGGCCAGGGTGAGCACCAGCAAGAGGCACACGCGGCACGACAGCCCCATGCCGCGCGGTGCCGCCGGCGCGGGGTTATCGACGGTGCTCAGCACCGAGCAGGGTTGGGACACGCGGAGGACGGGTCACCATCGCATCTGCCGAAAGAAAGGAGAAAGGGGTTTACCTGCTGCGGTTGGGTGAGGACCCTGGGGCACTGCTGCATGCGCTGTTGGGGGGGTGCTGGGGTCCCCCAGTGCCAGATGATAAGGGGTGCTGCCGGGGGGAGGATCGGCTGCCCCAAACCTCTTCCTACATACCACAAGTGGGAGGTGAAGCCAAGCTGCCTGCGGCAGGGGGGACAAATCCTGCCTGCTGCCACCTCCCAGCCCCTCGCCTGTCCCCCAAAAGCGTCTCTGCCATGCGAGACCCGCCCCCTCCAGCGACTGGAATGGGGACCCCTGCCAGCCCCCCGGAACAGCAATGAGAACAGGGGGGATCCCCGCGGGACCGGGACAAGTCCCCTACCAGCCCCCAGGAACAGGGACCCCAAAGTACCCCCGGGGCTGGCGTGTGAGTCCCTCCCGCCCCCCCCCTCCCCCTGCTCCCAGCTCACCGCGGCCGGGAGCGGTTCCCAGCCGGGGTCCCCGTCGGGTCTGGCTGCCCCGTCCAGTCCCGGCAGGGCCGAGCGCTTACCTGGGCGCTGCCGGGCCGTGCCGGGCCGTGCCGGGCCGGGGCGGAGCGGGGCCGGGGCGGGGCGGGGCGGGGCGGGGCGGGCGGGCCCTGCCCACGGAGCCGCGCGGGGCTCCCCGAGGGCCGGCACCGGCACACGCAGCCCGGGGGGACGGGGGTGCTCGGGGAGGAACAAGGAGCCCGGGGTGGCGTGGGGGGGGGCAACGGTCCCGAGGTGCCCGGAGGGTCGCTGAAGGGGGGGACACACGGCAAGTTTGGCTGGGCACAGTGCTCCAAAGGGACACGGGGGAAAGCCAGGGCCCCCCTGTTCAGGGGGGTAAGGCTGGCACGCCGCCTCGGGTGCCCGCTGCAGCCCAGCGCTGCCGGGGTGGCTGTCGGAGGGTCCCCGCTGCTGGGAAGCAGCCGCCAGCACCCCGGGGTGCCGGCATGTCAGCACCCCTTGGCCCCTCTGCCACAGGCACCGGTGCCAGGGGCTCGTCGCCGCCCTGGCCCACGCCATCGAGCTCCCCCGAAGCTGCCCGCGCCGGCGACTCGCTTCTAGGCATTCCCGGGGGGTTGTGGCAGGCTCAGCACGGGGATTTCCAGCCGAGGAGGCAAGACCGAGGCAGGGGCGGGTGCAGCTTTGCGTAGAGAGCCGTGGGGGTTATTTCTGTCGTGCTCATTCTTTGTCTCGCGTCCCTTTTTCCCCACCACCAAGGGCTGCCCTGCCAGCACTGCCGGGACTCGCCGGTGGGGATGAAGATGCTTTTACCTCCCACTGCACCCTATGAAGGCCTCCGAGTGTCCTGCTGCCCTCGGGCTGTGGGTCCCAGCTGCACCCATGAACTTTCCCTCCAGCTGAGCAAGGCGCTGCCCCGCGACTTTGGTCCCAGGAGGGGCTGAACGTGCCGAAAACAGGCTCCCCTGCCCTGGCCACCCTCAGCCCTCCCAGGCTCCCACCCCGCGTTGTGCAAGGCCCGGTGGTTGCGCTGGCCCCACGCCTTACCCAACTGCTCCTTCCTCCGGCCGCTGCGCGTCTCCCGCTCGGTTTCGACATTAGGTGGCCCTGGCCAGCTCATCCCAGGGTTTTTGCCGTTCCCACTCTCCGGCCGGTGCTGCCTCCTGCCAGCACCGCCCCGGCTGCCTTGCACCGCACCCAAATTTGGACCAAGCCCCCCCACCCCCTCCAAGTACACACACATGAACGTGACGAGACTTGACTTAGGGTCCAGGTAATGTTTATGAGCAAAGACAAGCGATTACACTCTGGCAGGAGCATAAATACAGGACCGGAGTCCCTGCGTTAGCCCTGCCAGGTCCTTCCCGGCTCCCTCGGTGTCTGGGTGCCACCCTGGTGGCTCTGCCCCTCCTCGAACACCCACCCAGCGCACGGCTGACAGACCCGAAACGTGGGGTCGGGCCGTGCCCGGCGTGCCGCGGCGTTCACGGGTGCTCAGCCCCACACCGGTGCCTGGGGATGGCCAGGGAGGTTGCCCCAGTGGAGCAAGCTCAGCATAGCTGGCTCAGGGGGCTGGGTTTGGGGGGCGGATGCCCCCACGCCAAGCAGAAGACCCTCCTTGGGTTGGGGGGGGGGCACCAAGGCCCCATGCCAGCTGCACTTGAGCTGCCCCTTTAGGGTCCATTGCCCAGGGGTCAGCATCACGAGCCCACAAGCACCCAGATGGGTACCCCAATTCTCTCTGGGGCTGCTCTGTGTCCCTGTGGGGAGGGGGGCAGGACCCTGCTGTCCCAGCCAGGGCTGGCTGGCCTGCCACCCTGCCTGCCACTGCCCCCCCAGGGTCATCCTTCTCACGGCCATGGTGGGAAGAATCCGGGCTCACACAGACACCAAGAGGGCAAACCTGCTGGGGCAGGGCTCTGGGACTGCCTGGCACTTGGCGGGGCCTGGCTCCCCCAGGGCAGGGAAAGGAGCAGTGCATGCCCCAGGCCATCCCTGTCCCCTGCTTGGGTGGTGTCACCCACTATTTGCAGACACAGCAGCACAGGGATGCCCCACATGCTACCACATTCTCCCTCAGGACCCCCCCACCCTTGGCACAGCCACAGGATGGCAGAGAAAAGAGGGTGCCAGGCACAGGCAGCAGGACCGAGGAGCTCAGCTCCCCCCCCCTCCAGCAACCTGGGGTACCAGCAGCTTCGCTCCAGGGCTCCCCCACAATGAGGGATGGAGCCAGGAGCTGTGGAGAAATCATCCCCCCCCTCAAATAGGGGCATTGCCTGCAGATGAGAGAAAGACCTGCTCGCCCCTTCCCCCGGCCACTGAGCATCCCGTCTCCAACACTCAGGTTGGACAGTCCCATGGGTGGGTTTCCCCATGCTCAGGGGTCCCACCATGCCCTCTCCCCTGGACTCTTGGCTCGGGCTTCCCCAGGGAACGGGCCCCCTGGCACAGCGGGGGTTCCCCTGGCTGGCACCATGCCCTGGGCAATGCCCGTCAATACGTCTGGGGCGTGAGGATGAAGAGTCGGTCTTCCTCCTTACGGATCCACTTCATGAGCTTGTTGACAGCACTGATGGCACCGGCCTTGGTCCCCAGGGGACTGTAGCATATGTAGAGCTCGAAGGCGCTGGTTACCTGCGTGAAGGAATGGGGGGTACATGCTGGGAACGCGTCTGCACCCCACTTAGGACTGGCACTACATCTACCCTCCACGGGCTACTGGGAATGGGCAGAGGGGCTTCAGTGCAAGGACATGAGGTGGCAGGGGGATACCCTAAATGGGTGGCATCTGGTTTGCTCAGAAGTGGGAGGATCCAACCCCAGGGTTTGCCCCCCAGGGTGGGTTTTCTCCGTGGCGCTGGGGAGTTCATAACCGTGCATGGCACTTGGAGCCAGAGCTCGCCAGCCCCTGCTGCTATCCCTGTCTGACCCTCCCTGGCACAGGAGTGCAGGGGGGCAGGCTGACCCCCAAAAGGAGCGTGCACAGGCTGGGGGCCACCCTGGGGACCAGAGAGTGGGTGCTGTGTTGTGCCACCCCCTCCGACTGCTCTGCCATGCAGGACCAGAGAAGATGGGCTCACCCAAACCCTGGAGACGGCCCTTACCCAAGCCAGGAGGTTCTCACGGGGGCCCGTGAAGTAGATGTTCTTCAGGGGGCGCGAAGAGTTGTGAGCCCGGCTGTGGAGGTACTGGTAGAGCCCCAAGAGCCTCTCCTTCTCCTCCTCCCGCACGTAGGGTGCCTCAATCTCGGGGCTGCAGGAACATGGGACCCCATTAGCCACCCGGAGAAGGGGGTTCGTGGAGAAGGCTTGCCCCACGCCCCACGCCCCGGCCTTGGCCAGACAGTTCCCCAGGGGGGCCCTCACCTGGTGAAGAGCCCAGAGCTCTTGGACTTGTAGATGAAGTGCCGGAGGTCGGGGATGCCCACCTGGGCGACGCTGTAGAAGGGGGTGCGCAGGGCCTCCTGCAGAGCATGGTGCACCCCCCGCCGCCGCAGGCGCTCCTGGAAGCGCCGCTTGCAGTCGGAGACGGTGAAGAAGTCCTCACGGTCAGTGGAGACCAGCAGGAGGCACAGGTCCATCTCCTGCTCCAGGTAGGAGATGTGGGCATGGAAGAAACCGCTGGAGTTGAACTTGGGGAGGCAAATAGGAGTCCAGGCTTCACCCTCCCGGAAGGAGGAAGAAGAGCTGATGAGGTTGAAGAGCAGATGGAGGTCAATGGGGTGGAGGAACTGATCCTTCTTCCTCACAAGAGACACCAGCTGGTTCCCCGACAAGAGAATGGAGAAGACCAGGCTCTTGGCCTTGGCCTGCTGCAGGCTGGTGCTGACAGCGTCCCGGACGCTGGCGGCCAGGGGCAGGCAGCGCACGGCGCCCATGAGGAAGCTGGGGTCGTGGGCCATGAGGTCCAGCAGGTTGTCCGTGATGCGCTCGGAGCCAGCCAGGAGCCTGCGCAGGTCGTAGTTCTGCTTCTGCTGGAAAATGTGGTTGAGCTGGGTCCAGGTGAGCAGGCTCAGGATCTGGTAGTAGATGTAGAGCAGCTCGTGGGCAATCTCCTGCTCCGACTGCTGGGTCCGTGCCACTGCCACCAGCACCAGTGGGCTCCTCCGCACAAAGACCACCTTGTAGCCATCTGCGTGGGAGGGAGTCCCCAGGGAGACCGGGGTCAGACCTGTAAGCCCGGCTCTCTGGGGCTGCAAGGGGGAGCCGGGCTGCAGCCTCTCCCCCCAGCAACCAATCTGCCCCGGGGGACAGCTAATGTGGCCCATGGTGGCAGGAGGCAGGCTGTGACACCCCCCGTCCCACTCCCCCCCCAGAGCAGTACCTGCGTGGATGGACCGGATGGCGTTCTTCTCGGCTTCCAGGAAGGACACCAGGGCCATCATGACACCCATGGTGCTGGAGAGGGCCTCCTCAGAGCCGTAGCGAGAGTACACGGGCTTGCCCGCCTCGCTCAGCACGAAGACGTGCTTGCGGTGCATGCGCCAGGCGTCCATGGTCACGTCCTCCTCCTCCTTGCCCGACAGCACTGAGTCGCGGCGGGTGGTCTGCGGGGACGGCTCCAGCTTCCCCTCCTTGCTCTGCCTCATCTCCTCCTCCAGGTCGAGGGCCATGCCCGTGAGCTGGGTGCTCAGCTCGCTGAAGTCCTTGCTGATCTGCTCCATGGTGGTTGGCTCGGCCGGCTCCCCCCGCCTCTCCTCCGGGCTCCGCGCTGCGGCCGCCCCGTCCTCAGGACTCGTTAAGTCCTCGTAGGAGCGGGTGTGCACGAACATGGCTCCCTCCTGGCCCGCCCCTGGGAACAACAGGCCGTGTAGCGTCCGTCTGACTGTCCCACACGCTGAGGCGGCGGGTAGACAGAGGGTGCAAAAGGGACAGGGGGGTTGCAGGGAGAGGGACCTGCCCTCCTCTCCCCATCCTGTTGCACACAGGGGTGCAGGTCCTGCTACTGGGGAGCCACCAGTGGCCCCATCTCCCCCTACCTGCAGGGCTGTGGAGAGTCCAGCCCGCATAACGAGGAGCTGCTGTACTTCCCCCCCCACCCTCCTGCCCCCGCGGTGAGCTCTGCCCTGTACCTGGCTCCGTCCCCTGCGCCAGCCCCGGCGTGGGACTCTCGGACCGCTCCGCATGCTGCCCATCTCCCGGCGTCAGGGACCCGTTGGGCACTTCCCAGCCTTTCTTCTTGTGGACATCCGCAGCCATTCCTCGGGGCAGGACCTGCATACAACCCACAGCGTCACCCCTCTGTTCCCCCACCCGCAAAACAGGCCCCGCAACGCTCCGCTCTCAAGTGGGGCTGCGCCAGCATCCTCGGCCCGATCCTGCTGGCTCAGCAGGCAGCACCGAGCCCTGCTGAGATGTCAGGAAAGCCGCTCTAATCCAGCAGGATTTCCTCCCTCCCGCGGCCCCAGCTCTTTCCAGCCCCCCGGCCCCATCACCTTTCATCCAGGCTTGGCCCCGATTTCCCCCTGAGCTCCGGGAAAGCCGCTCAACCTCCCTCTGCCGTGTCCCAGCAGCGAGGGGGAAGGGAGACGGCCCTGGATGGGGCTGGTCCTGCACACCAACGATCCCGGAGGCCTCATGTTTGCAAAGGGCGGGTTTTATGGCTCTCCTGGGCCTGGATTAGGTGGCTGAGATGAGACCAAGCTGGTGACACACCTCCCGAGGAGGCCACGGCCGCTCAGATGGCGTGACCCCCTGTGAGCAGGGTGCCCTCTCTAGCCCCTGCCCCGCGGGTCAGCCCCGGCCGTGCCTCCAGCCCTCGCTTTCCTCCCTGCTCCAGAGGGGAAGAAACGGCCCCCAAAGCAAACATGAACACGAACACACAGACGCGCAACAGCAATGGGAGGAAGGCAGGCTGGCGGGGGACCCTGTGCCTCCAAAACCAGCCGGGGGGGAGGCTCACAGAGCCCCGACTTCGCTCCGTGCTTTGTGCCACCTCCTGCCCCCCAGCGCCAACCCCAGCAGGTAACGCTGCACCAGGGGGGAGCCAGACTCCGACCCCCAAACTCCGTGACACCCCAACCGCCCCGGACGGTGCCGGGCTGCGGATCAGGGCCCCGTCCTCTCCTGGCCCCCCACCCTCCCGGCTGCCCCGCTGCCCTCCCCCCCAGCCCCCCCGCGGCTGAGGGTCTCCCCGGGACCCCCGTGGCCCAGTGCGGGGCTCGTCCCGGTCCCTCCCACGCCCCGGGGTGGGGGGAGTTGGGGGTGTCACCGCTCCCGGAGCACCGGCGAGCCCCGGGGAAGCGCCAGGCCCGGGACCCCCCTCAGCCTCGAAGGACAACGCGCACGGACCGACCTTCGCGGCTCCTCCCGTCGGCGCCGGAGGCCCCGGGCGAGCAGCGCGGCAGGGGGCCCGTCCCCCCGTGCCCCCCTCCCGCCACCCCCGGCAGCCCTCAGCACGGCCTAGGCGGGGCGGGGGGCACGACGCCGGCGGCGGGCGGCCGCCTCCCGCCCTGCCACTGGCCGCCGCGGCGCCCCCGGCATCGCGGCACCCCGCCCCGGCGGGAACCGCCCCCCGCGGCCTGACCGGGCCCCAAGGTCGGGGTCGGGCTCCGGCCCCGCGGAGCCCCGGGAGCTGTAGGCAACGCCCGCACCCCGCCGCCGCCGCTCCGCGACTACAGCTCCCGGCAGGCACCGCGGGGGCGTCGCGGGGCACGCCGGGAAATGGAGTCCGGCCGCCGCGACGCATGCGCGGGAGGGGGGCGGCGGGAGCGGACGGGCGGCGGCTGGCGGGGTGGGGCGGGACTCCGCTTCCCAGGGTGCCGCGGGGGAACGGAACTTCCGGCTTCTCGCCCTGGGTGCGCTGGGCCTGGCGCGGCGGGAGCGGCGGCGGCGGCGGCGGTGAGGGGCGACCGCACCCGCCGGGGGAGGGGCGGAACCGGGCGGGGGATCGTGGGCTTTGCCGGGGATGGGGCGCGGGGTCTGGCGTGGGGCCGCCGGGGCGGCTCCCGGGGCACAGGAACGGGGCAGAGTCTCCCCTACGGCCGTCTGGGACAGGGAATCGGAGTGGGGGGGGTGGACTAGGGGAGGGAGCGTTTCTGGGATGTCCCCTGGGGTAAAGGGAGAGGGGGGGCTCTCCCTTAGTCCTGAGAGAGGGGAGGGGAGAGGGGGTCTCCCGGGATGAGATGTCATCCCGTGGGGCTGTGTGGGACAGAGGAGCGGGCGTGGGGTCCATCAGGAGGGGGGCAGAGCGGGGCATGGGTGTCTATTTTGGGGCATAGTCCGAGGCAGGGGGCTGCCCCGTGTCATCGTTGGTTGTGGCGTTTCGAGGTATCTCTGTTATTCCGAGGCCCTGGTCAAAATTAGGGCTTTCTTTCATGCCATGTCGTGTTCATTTCGGTGAAAAGTGTCTCGGGACGCTTGCGTTTTTAAGAGGGGTGAACAAAAAGTGGGCTGGATTCGTGCTGGGATGCAGAGAAAGGTGATTGGGGCAGTCACTGGGAGTGTGTTAATGGATGGTAATCCCCAGTGATGGGCTAAACGGGATTTTGGACTGTAAATAAAGGCTTAGGTGGAGACAGGATGTGGCCTGGCTGGGGAAGGCCAAGGTAATGCAGAGCCTGTGAACTACTCAGAGTAGTAACTGTGACCTTTAGTGTTTTGTTTTGTTTGTTTGTTTGTTTTTAAAAAAAGGTACCACAAGAGTTTGGTGGTTTTGTTGGTGTGTGGTATTCATTTTGGAAATGCTGCTGAAGGTGGAATCCACTTTCCTATCCCAGCAGGGCGTTGGTGTGAAAGTTTCTCCTAACACTCCCTGCCTGGGAGTGCGCTTATGAAGCCCTGTGGGACAGACAAAGTCAGGATAGTAATGGGACAGTTTAAAAATGCACCGAATTATTTCTAATACATGTTTTTAAAAGCATCAGACAGCTGAAAAGCACACACATCTCCTTTTTTTTTTTAAGTTAAAACCTCCAGCCTGACACCTGGAAGAGCCAAAACAGTTCTCCTTCCCTTCACTTTCGAATTTCAGTGATGTGGTTTTGATATTTTTTCTGGAGTAGACATCTTCAGCTTTAACACTGCAAGTAGCAGGCTTTCTCGGCTACTTGCAGTTTCTGTAGCTTGGGGAAGTGTTTTCTTTTGTACCCACTGTAGTACTTGAAATTCACAGAGCCATTTTCATTTCTTCAGCCTTACAAAAACTTAACTGGGTGCAGAAAATTGTTCCGCAGCAAGTTACTTCCTCTGTTCTTTGAGTGTAGCCTTGTGTGTAATTGTGTGTTTGATTTCCTCATGCTCTATAAATACCAAGTCTCGCAGCCTTGGCAGAATCTGTTTGGAGAGAAGTTGTGAATATCAGAGAATTTTTCTGAAAAGAACATCTCTTTGAAACTTCACCTTATCTAATCCATCACCAGTTTATTCTCTCTCCCCCAGATATGGAAAACAAACTGCAAAGATGGGTGTAAGTTGGTGAGGAGATGCTCAAGGACTGTGCTGGCTCACTCTGTCCCTTGTGAGAAATCTTGAATTATTCCTTAAGAAGGCCAGCTTCTTAGTCTGGCTCAGTTGCATGATTCTGATGTACAATGCCATGATTTTACCATAGTATGATGTAAATTGAAATAAGAGATCCCAAAGAGTCTGCTGTCAGGCTTGGCACGTGTGGTTTGGACAGTGGAATCGGAAACGTCCCCTGAGCAGCAGTGCCAGGCGCTGGGCTGTCTGGGGGTGTGCTGGGCAGGGCAGGGACACGCTCCTGAGGAGCTCCTTGGGTGTAATTGCCAGGGAGCATCTGGAGCTCCGTCAGTCTCTCCTGTCTGCTGGGAGGGCTGCGGGACCTCTGGTCACTGGAGGGAGTAAGAAAGACCACAAAAGAGCTTCCCCTCCTTTGAGACTCACCTTCTGTGTCATCACTGGAGCCGAGGCTTTGCCACCAGGAAACAGAACCAGCTGTGAGAGGAGAAGGGAAGTAAAATGCATGCTTTGAGGATGTATATCAGCTCCCCTGATTAGTCAGTGTAATTGTAACAGCTAATTATTGTCTTAAAAGAACTCTGAATCCGGGCTCTGTGAGTAACTGGACCATGTTGTGCGTTCTCCGGCTGCCTTATTGCGTCACTCTGAAACATCCTTTGTTACCACCTCCTTCAGGTGCATGGTTGTGACTGAACTACGGCAAAGCTAATTGCTGCACTGTTCCTAGCACTTGAGGGTGGATTTTTGCCATGCTTTGCTGTTGGCCTGGGCTCTGTTGGTGTGTCTTTGGCAAGCAGCCTTACTCACGCTGACCTGTCTTCCAGCATCTGCTGGCGAGCAGGGAGGTGGGAGCTGAGCTGGCAACTACCTGCTTGCGGCAGGAGGGTGAATCCGGATGGTGTCTCATCACAGCGTGCATCTTCTGGAGCAGTTGTAGCAGGGCGTACCTTTGGGAGATCATGGTGTTGGTGGAAGCCGGTCCAAGAAGTTTCTGTACCTGTCCTGCAGTTTGCTGTCACCTTGTTTTGTGGGGCTGTGTAGTAAACCGTATTGCTGAAATGATCTGAGTTAAATATAACTCTTTTTGGAGGGTCATCCGTGGTGCAGACCCAGAAAAGCACAAGCTGGCACAAGTAACACATTGCATGTTGCCAAAGGCAGAACGGAGGGAGCAAATCGTATCAGACCGAACAGGGGACTGTCAGAGCCAGAGTTGCTGCCTCTGTTATTGAACCATGACCTCATACTCATGGATGTTACTGCATGGCTCGGCTGATCTATGCAAGGCCTGATATCAGTGCAATGGTTTGTTTTGTTTTGTTTTTTTTTTCCCTCTGCCTGATAATTTGAATATTATGTCCAAATAGTTCCTAGCTGGCAAGGGTTGTTTTTGGTTTGTTTTGTTTTTTCTTTTAAGCATTGGTAAGCTTGTTGACTTAATGAGAACTGAAGAACAAGAAACACCAGGTCTGTAGATGTCTGCAGGCTGCAAAAGATCATAGATAAAAAGTCTGGCTGATGACAGCCAACTGTAATGACTGCCATAGCCACCTCCTTTTGCCTGTCCTCTCTGTGGGGGGGTGCAGTGTCAGTTCTCTTAGATTGACTTCTGAGAAAGAAAAAAAAAAAAAAAAAAAAAGATAGAGCTTGTGGAGGAAATCCTTGGGACCAGGGAGGTGCTTGTTGCATCAAGAGCCATATAAAAGGTGAGCAGACCAGTGTGCTTGGGCTTGGGTGGCCAATTGAATGAACCTGTTTCTTTAGAAATGGCGCTACGCTGGATGGATCAGCTGTGGTTCTACAGGTTGCCTTCATCAGCCGTCACACCCTTGGGTACTGAGGCCTGCCATGCCCTGGCTCCCACGGGAGCGTTCTCTGGCTGGCGATGGACCCTGGCAGGAGTGAGGAATCTCTCTTGGCAAGGCAGCTCCCTTTAGCTCCTTGGCCCAGGTGGCTGCCGGCAGCGGCATCTGGAATCACTCCCTGGTGTAAGGTCTGTCATAACCTGCTCTGTCAACCTGCCACCCCTATGGCAGCACTGACCTTTGGAAGTGAGAAGAAACAGGATCTTGTGTGCTTCACTTCAACGTTAGCTGCTCTAGCCTGGCTTGGCAGGGACTGTCTGTACTGTATTCTGTTTGCCTAACTGCTACAGTTAATTTAATCCCGCTTTTGAGCAGTTTTGTAGCAGCAAGTGAGCCCCAGGTCTCCTAACCTTGGTCTGGTGGCACGGCAGCCCTCCTGAACTGCTGCAGCTGGATTAGCCAGGGCAGGTTTGGGACCATCAGGTTGCTAGCTACCTCATTTTGCTCTGTGCTCTGCTGCAATCATTTTTTTTTTTTTTTTTTTTTTGTTTTTTTGGAAAGAAGGAAGCACTTCCCATTTAAAGTCCCAGCTTTGGCAATTGCCAGGAAATCCTCACCTTCTCCGCTGGTGGGAGGAAGTGGATGAAATTTTAGATCTCTGTTGAGGCAAGTGTTATTTGCGGCACTCAGCTTGATGAGGGCAGCATCAGAGAACAGTGCCTGTAATGATTTATTGGCAAAGCCTACTCTGTTATCTACATACTTTTGAGGGCAAAGTAATGTAGTAGACCAATAGTAGTGATCGTTTCCTTGAGCAAAGAGCTTTTGGCAAAAATATTTTGGATTAAACATTAATTGCAAACTGTTGTTCGGCAACGGTCCTTGTTGTTTATAGATTGTGGCGTTCTCACATTTCTAGCTGCACTCTGAATAGTGTCAGACAGCACAGTATGTTGGAAAGCTTTATGTTAATCAAAGCAGATATCAAATTGTTTGCCCACCCGTATTGACAGTTTGATTTCAGAAGTCGTTTGACGCTTGCAAATTTGAATGTGGAGAAACACAATTAAATTCATTCATGCCTCGGTGTGGTCTTGTGTATTTGTGGATCCTGATCAGATGTTCCACACACCCTTCTCCCAACCGGCAGTGTCTTTCTCATGTGAGATGTGTTCTTCGCCTTGTGGCTTATTGTCGTGTTATTTATTCAACAGGTTGTGCTGTCTTGGTGTTCTTAGAGTGAATTAACCATTTCTGGGAACCTGCCAGACAAGATCAAAATGTGGGGAGACCATCGACAAGGCAACAGAATGGGGTCCTTTCGGTAAGCATTTGAATGTACAGTTTGTTTCAGCAACATTCTTAAATACAATAAGCCATAGGAAC